CAAACGACTCGACGGCACATAACAACAACAACAGCATTGTTACACACACACCCCACCACCAAAATAAGATGTCCTCTATTTTTCTCTTTAACAATATAATCTCCCATGATTTTGCAAGTTATTACAGGTATTATGTTTTGGAAAATCTTCATTAAAATCCTCATGAACTGATAGGATCATAGGACCAAATACAGGGGTGTTGAGACTGAACCTTAACAGAAGTTACCTCGTTCTTCTTTCCCTCAAAGAGCCTAAGGGGTTAAACCAACAATCTTTTGGTTAGCAGCCCAACACGTTTTATTCACTCGGCCAAAAGGCAGGTTTTATTGAGTTTTCATGAGGCGGAAATCCTCCCCTTTACTCCATTCCCACTTGTTTGCTCCTGAAAAGGCAAAATTAGAGACCACTCTGCATGGCAGAAATGGATAGCAAATGCTTCCAGCTTGGGCTTCGGTGTACCCAGCGTTTGACGAGACCCCTGACGTTCACTTCCGAAAAATCGGCTACTGAAAGCCCTAGAGAGCACAGGAGTGGAATGGGGGGGGGGGGGGGTATGTTCTTTTTGGCTGTATTTAGCTTTTTGTAAAAATAGGACCACCTCCAAGCTTTTGTAACCGTCAGTGTCTACCACCCAAAGATAGCTTCCCAAGTATATTGATCCTAATTGCAAAACCTTAGCACCATCTTTTCTTGAGCTCAGATCCCTCAGCTGTTCTTGAAAAGCCCCATCTTTTGTGCCAGATACCTGTATTTGCTTATCCAACCCCAGACATTTCGGTGTTACTTTTTAGATAACCATTCTTTTAACGGTACCTACTTGAGGTTACCTGAGGCTTCTCTTAATGTCACCAATATTTTGAAAACAATACGGTTAGTAAAGGCACTGAAGCTGAGGGATCTTCGCCTAAATATGTAAAAAAAAAAAAAAAAAAACACCCCTCTTGCAGGAGAAATGCCAACATATCGACAAAGAGCCCATCTGAATTGCGGCATCCACCAAAGCACGTCCACGTAACACGCATGCGCAGACTAAGGAGGCCCTTTCAAACTAGAACCCTAAAGAAATCGCTAAATAAGCTTTATGTGGGAGTTTAAGGATAACGTCCAGAATATCGGACTCAGCATCACAACTTCTGGAGTGAGAAAATGGGAGCCCTGAAAAGGGCATTTTGTTGTGAAGGATAAAATAGCAATCAGCCGCCGAAGCCATAGAGGGTGCGTCCCTGGCGCTTGAGCGCGTAGACCACATCCATGGCGGTGACGGTCTTGCGCTTGGCGTGCTCGGTGTAGGTGACGGCGTCCCGGATCACGTTCTCCAGGAACACCTTCAGCACCCCGCGGGTCTCCTCGTAGATGAGGCCGGAGATGCGCTTGACGCCGCCGCGCCGGGCCAGGCGGCGGATGGCGGGCTTGGTGATGCCCTGGATGTTATCTCGGAGCACTTTACGGTGGCGCTTGGCGCCCCCTTTTCCGAGACCTTTCCCGCCTTTGCCACGACCAGACATTGTGCTGATAAAAGTACAACGACTTGCCTCAGGATAGAAGCAAGCTTTTATAAGTCTGTTTACGGACCGAACTGAGAACTTCAGAAAAGGCGGGAAGGCTCGCTCCGTGAAGGAGGGGACTCTAAGTGAGCGGGGAAGAGGCTTTCTACTTTTGTATCCTTTGTAAACCCCCTATATAGTTAAATATCACTGCTAACATTTAGATGAATTAATATAAATGCACGCAGTTTTTATCAATTTTCCTTACTTAGTGGTTTTCAGAACAGTGCTTTTTTAATGTCTGACAATATTAGTTTTTAGGAGTTCTTAATATCAATACTGTAGCATTTCGTACCTCCATAATTTTAAATCAGCTCTTCACTGCTAATAATATACCCACCTTCAACAATGTACTTAGAGCCATTACTGAGGTGGTGTTTTGTGTTTTATATTTAACCTCTATTTCTGTTTTAATACAATTGTTTATTAATTAATTATACAATTATTCATTATACAATTGTTTCATTTATCTACATTTTGTTTTGTACAATATTTATATACCTACCCCTTCTTTTCAAGTCTCCTTGAATCATTCCTATTCTTCACTCTTTTCCCCCTAGTGTTTTACGTTTTAAATCCCTAGTCAAAACGGAATGTATGATCCGATTTAAGTTTTACTTAGAAAACAGATGACAAAAATATTTGTTTAGTATTTCATTGTAAGGACTTTCTACAATAGATTTAGAAATAATGTATCTTCACGTTTTTCCTATTATAAACGATACTTGTACATAAATTTATCTTCTGAAAATTATCCTTCTACAATTAAATTTCTTTGCAATAGAAGATACTAATTTTAAGGTCTTTTATATGTATTACTATATTTTCATCAAAAGTTTTTCATGTTCACTTCTGCCAGCAAAAATTGTTAAATATATAACTTTACCATCACTAAGTATTATTACCCTTTTTAACAACCTGTTAGTTAAACTTAAGATTTACTTTTATTAAGCGTTTGCATTTTTCTCTTTACTAATTCATATGTTTTACCAGCAATATTTATTTTAAGACTGTAACATTTCTTTCTTGCGTTGTGAAAACTTGCTGTTTCCTTTGAAACATGTTCGTGTTAAAATTTTCAAAGTTTGTTGTTTGAATATGTATGTGGATTTTGGGTTTTTTCAGGATTTTTGAGTGGAGACTTGATTTCATGAACTTAATTGAAAATTTAATTATAATTGTGTTGTTGTTGTCGTCGTGTGCCATCAAGTAGCTTGCAACTCATACCAACCCTATGCACAACATGGTCTCAACATCAAGCACACCTTAGTCTCCAGACTAACATCATTGGTCTTCAGCACTTCGGAGAGGTCCCTGACAACAGATTTTTGTAATGCAATTTGCCTTTTGATATTTAGGGGGGGGTTAATTATTATACAATATTTTAAAAAATTAATTAGGACAGAAATAGTAATATCTTTAATAGATAGGATTCTTTTTATGGAGCTTTAAATACTCTATCTTTTCAGAAGATGTAAAAGATTAATTTGGGTGGCATCTGGATTTTTACTTGCTTTTTCTTGTTGTTGATTGCTGTTGAGTTGCGCACGACTCAGTGACTCAATAAAAAAACACCTGAAGCTTTTCCACAACTATCGTTTCTCCAAGTTCACAGAGTTTCAGGTTAGGAAGTAGATGCCTCTCCTGCTTCCAAATCAGTCTTAAAACTGGGAGCTCTACCAAGCACTGTCCACCATGAGCAGCCATTATAGCATATGAAACCCCAGTGATACAAGATTCAGCATCACAGCAAACCCAGATTACCAAGCACAGCAAATTGACAGAAGAGTGCTATCCATACTTAATTTCTTTATTCCGTGCTGTTAGGGAGCTCCAATAAAATCAATTATTTTTTCATTCTGATCCTGTTCCTATGAATCTAAATTTTCGTTTTGGGCCCAGACAACTTTTGAAAAATATACTTCCAGCAAATTTATTCTTATTCATAGTTATCCTATAAGACATAGTAGAACTGCCCCTAAGGCTACGTAAGGCTATAAATCTATTTGGTTCTACCTTGTTGTAGCCAGTAAATTTGAACTTCTAACATTTTATTAGAAGCCAGATATAGTACTACCCAAGCTCCTGTGTAAGCTTTTTACTTTTCAGCAAATTTATATCCAAATATATATATATGAATATTTAATTTTAAAATACATAGAATTTTTTTTGTTGTTTAGTCAGACAAATTTAATCAGGTTAATAGCCAGAATCAAAGTCCAATTACATGAAAAGCTAATTTCTTTTTTACATTTTTAAATTGATTTTCATTGTCTACTTGTAAGGTGTTGAAGGTGGGACCCACTCGTGAATCTTTTTTCTAGTGATGGAATAAGGTACTTATTGTTCTGGACTCGTTGAACCTATGGTTCTTCCAAATGAACTTCTGAGCAATGGCTTTTTTTTTAGCAGATCATTGGTCATACAGTGAGGCCAATTGTGCCATTCAGGAGGCACTATGCCTCCATCAACATCCCAGAATGTGTTTTTACCATTCATTTTGATAGTATATATAACCGAAAAACTGCTCGTTGTCTTCATAGTATTTGTTTCCATATTTATCTTCCCTTACTAATGTACCGACACTCACATCATTGGCCCTGAAGAAAACACTTAAGTAGCCGCGAGGGCTGCCATGGCAGCTGATCTGCTGCAACGCGCGTTTCAGGACCTCAAATACATAGAATATATTTTCAAATAGAGGCAATTCTTGTGCATGGCTAAAAACTTTTAATTAGGTAAAATTTAAAAAATACCCACCATAATTTCACAGACCAAAGATCATAGTACTAACTTTATGATAGCACCCCATTGACAGAGTTGTTTCCTCGTGTATCAGATCGATTACATCTGTGGAAAAAAACACTGGAGAGGCTCCATATCAACTGTGAAAACTAGGCCAGGAGCTGATTGAGGAACAGACCACCAACTACTCATGTGCAAGTTCAAGCTGAAGCTGAGGAAAATTAAACCAAATCCACAGGAGCCAAAATATGACTTTAATTTCAT